AGTTTAGAAAAATGTATCTCCCCCCAACAAAAACCTGTTCATTAAAAGTTGCTCCCCAAACCTTCTCCTTTCCCAAGAAACCACTAATATACTTGCTGTCTCTATGGCTTTGCCTATCCTAGGTTTTTAAAATATAAATGAAATCATGTAATACATAGTCTTTTGGCTTCCTTCAATGAGCATGTTTTAGAAGATCATCTATGTTGTAACGTGTAACATGTTGTAACATGTAACATGTACTTTAGTCCTTTTTATTGCCAAATCATAGTCCTTAGTATAGATATAGTTATTTATCCTTTCGCCATGTTGCTTACACTTTCATCAGTTAATAAACATTAGGATGGATTTTACCTTTTGATTTTTATGATAGTACTGTTCTGAAAATTCATGTACAGGTTTTGGTATGGGTGTATGCTTGCCTTTCTCTTTAGTATATCATGTTGAACTCTTTGCAACCCCAGGGACTATAGCCTGCCAGGCTCCTCTGTCCAGGGGATTCTCCAGGCAAGAATACTGGACTGGGCTGCCATTTCCTTCTCTAGGGGATCTTCCCAACCCAGGAATCGATCTTGGGTCTCTCTCTCATCTTCCTGCATTGGCAGGTGGGTTCTTGACCACTAGCACCACCTGGGAAGCCCAGAATATACACCCAGGAGAGGAATTACTATACCATGCAGTAGCTCCGCATACACATGTTTTTTAAATGAGGAGGATACTCACTGATGCCAGGGAAAACTTCCACTGTAATCAGGGTACACAGCTTACAGACAGAGTACAGGAAAGATGCGTGTATGCAGTATGTGTGTGCTCAGTTGGGTCTGACTCTTTGGAACCCTATAAACTATAGCCCACCAGCCTCCTCTGTCCATGGAATTTTCCAGACAGGAGTTCTGGAGTGGGTTGCCATTTCCTACTCCAGGGGACCTTCCTGACCCAGGAACCGAACTCGGTTCTCCTGCATCTCCTGCACTGCAGGCGGATTCTTGACCATTGAGCCGCCAGGGGAGGCCCATACAGAACAGACGCACCATGGTTAAGGCAAAGTTCTCATCACAGCCTAAAAGACCCCGTGTGACCCCGGGCATGTTCTCACCTCCACCACCACTGCCTGGAGAGTGCTGTGTGCTGTGCTCAGTCACTCAGTCATGCCCGACTCTTTGAGACCCACGGATGATAGCCTGCCATGCTCCTCTGTCCATGGGGATTCTCCAGGCAAGAATACTGGGGTGGGTTGCCAAGCCCTCCTCCAGGGGATCTTCCAAACGCAGGGATTGAACCCAGGTCTCCCGCTACCAGCAGATTCTTCACCATCTGAGCCACCAGGGAAGCCCAGAGAGTAGAACTCTTTGGTTCTCATCCCACCCCAGGGCCTCTGTACTTGCTGCTCCCTCTGTTAGGGACGCTTACCCAGGTATTCACATGGTGTGTGCCTTCACTTTCTGCAAGCTTCTATTGTCATCACCCCTCCACAGAGGTCGTCTGGCATCTGCATGAAAAACAGTAGCCCCATCACCCGTCTCACACACCGGACCTTCACTTTTCTTTGTAGTGTTTATCACCACCTGCTATCATATACTTTTGTTTGTTTTTTATCTCCTTCTACTGGAATGTGAGTTTACATGACAATAGAAACTTTTTTTTCCTGGTATTATATTCCCCAACACCTACATCAATAAATTTATTAAAAATGAATCCATGCCTGACATACACTAGGGGCTCAAGAATAAACAAATGAATAAAAAAGCAAGATAGATGTCCTTTTCTAAATTCACAATCACTGAATCAAATGAGATGCATATCTCTGAAGCAATAAATGGAATGTTCCTATTGAATTCCACATATTCAGTCTTCTTATTGAACTTTTTTTTTCAGTGAATTGAATTGATCCCCAATAGATACAGTGTATGAAAAAAGGTGTCTTGGACATCTGACATCTAGCTTCACAGGGAAAGTCATCAGCATAAGCTGATATAAGATAGTTTCTCAGGGAGCTCTGCTGCTGAAGCCAATACACAATAAAATGAGGGCATATTCATTTCCTGCTTTCTGATTTTGTGCCTTAAAGAAGCACCCTGTGGCCTAAGTGTTTTTAGTAATCTCATCAAAATAGTCAATGACTTAACATTAACTAGATTGTTGCTGTTGTTGAAATACAACCTGGGTCGTATTTTTGTATTTTTACAGTTTAGGAACATCTGCAAATTTTGTCTGCCATTAGTGCATTAGTATTTGATTTCATGCAGAGAAGTCTATACTATCTAAAATGCATTTTCAAAAAACACAATAAGGAAAATGGTAATTTTGTCCAATGAGGTAGTTTGGGGGTTTTTTTGTTTGTTTGCTTGTTTTTTTGGTGTCTGAGTTTTGTTGGGAAGGGGAATCCATTGTCATGTGGGAGGTCAGACCAATAGATCTAGTGCCTGTGAAACAAAATCCATTATCTGGCTTCTCTGGAGAGGTATGGAGCCCTCTCAGAAGAGCTGGGCTGAAGAGGAAGCCACTTATCTCAGTCTACTCCTCCCTCCCTCAGTTAGGCCTAGAAGAACCTTTAAAATCATCCAGACCATTGTGTGTTGTGTTGTGTTGTATTGTTTTCGACCAAAAGAAATTTTCCCAAAAGAAATCTCAAAAGGAGATCCAGTGGGAAGTGGACCGAGGTGGAGCCTCCACAGTGACAAAGGATGATGAGCTAGAAACCCAGCCTCTCAGCCTTACAGTTTCCTTGGGAGTCCCCAGGAGGACTCCAGGGGACTCTTCATAGCAAAGTTTTAAAACAATGATTTATTCCAATTGTTTCATCTCACAGATAAGGAAAGGAGATTCAGGCAGTGCTAAGTTGAGTTTTAAGTCTCCTATAATAAGATACTTGATTCATGGCAAATAGATGGGGATTTAAGGGAAACAGTGACAGACTTTATATTCTTGGGCTCCAAAACCACTGAAGATGGCGACTGCAACCATGAAATTAAAAGACACTTTACTACATGTAAATCCATGGCTAATTCATTTCAATGTATGACAAAAACCACTGCAATGATGTAAAGTAATTAGCCTCCAACTAATAAAAATAAATGGAAAAAATAAATAAATAAATTTCATTCTAATATAAAAAAAAAGACACTTTACTCTTTGGCAGAAAAGTTATGACAAACCTAGATAGCATATTAAAAAGCAGAGACTTTACTTTGCCAACAAAGGTCAATATAGTCAAAGTTATGGTTTTTCCAGTAGTCATGTATGGATGTGAGAGTTGGACCATAAAGAAGGCTGAACGCTGAAGAATTGATGCTTTTGAACTGTGGTGTTGGAGAAGACTCTTGAGAGTCCCTTGGACTGCAAGGAGATCCAACCAGTCCATCCTAAAGGAAATCAACACTGAATATTCATTGGAAGGACTGATGCTGAAGCTCCAATACTTTGGCCACCTGATGCGAAGAGCCAAGTCATTGGAAATGACTCTGATGCTGGGAAGGATTGAGAGCAGGAGGCAAAGGGGTCAGCAGAGAACGAAGTGGTTGAATGGCATCACTGACTCAATGGACATGAATTTAAGCAAGCTCTGGGAGATGATGAAGGACAGGGAAGCCTGGCGTTCTGCAGTCCATGGGGTCACAAAGAGTCAGACACGACTGAGTGAACAACAGCCATGGTAAGATGCAGTCATCTCACTGACTCCTCTCACCCTCTATAAAACAGCATTTATCAAGTCGCATCCATTTTTATAGATAAGTGAACACTGTTCACTCAAAGAGCTCTCTCTGACACCCCATCCCACGTGTCCCTTCAATGCCACACCCTTCTCTTCCTGAAGTGTTTCCCATGCATGACTACCCTTTAGGTATAAGGCCTATGGCAGCAGGGACAGTGTCTCTCATCATCCCCAGTATGTCCCCAGAACCTAGGACTTGGCCTGTAAACAGAACAACTGGAAACACCTTGAGGGGAAGGATCCTGTTGCATTTGTCTTGATCTCCAGGGCTTGGCCCTGGGCTTAGCTCAGAGTAGCAGCTCAATAATTGTCTGAGCTGAATTGTGCTGTGGAAATAAAACTACTTAAGAGTGAGAGGGTTCAGTCGTTTGACTCTTTGCGACCCCATGGACAGGCTCCCCTGTGCATGGGATTCTCCAGGACACTGCCATTTCTTCCTCCAGGGAATCTTCCCAACCCAAGGATGGAACCTGGGTTTCCTGCATTGCAGGTGTATTCTTTACCACTGAGCCATTGCGGGAGCCCATAAGACTACATACAAGTCAGGAGAATCCTTTCCAGGCCCCATTCAGGCTTTTTCTAGGGTCAGGTGTTCTTGGGCAATTTGTCCTCCCTAGTTTTGTCTTTCATAAAATAAAGTAATTGGATTCTGAGGTCTTAGAAAACCCTTTCATCTGAAATGTTCTGTGATACAGTTTTTCTCTTCTTAGAAATGCCTGATGAAAGTGGGTAGCAAGAACGTGAATGAGATGACTACNGGCTTTTTCTAGGGTCAGGTGTTCTTGGGCAATTTGTCCTCCCTAGTTTTGTCTTTCATAAAATAAAGTAATTGGATTCTGAGGTCTTAGAAAACCCTTTCATCTGAAATGTTCTGTGATACAGTTTTTCTCTTCTTAGAAATGCCTGATGAAAGTGGGTGGCAAGAACTTGAATGAGATGACTACGTATATAAAAGGATATTAATCAACAGCTAATGGTTAATAGGGGACCTCAGGGGTCACACCACATGCGATGAGATCTTCATTCTACCATTTACTAACTGGGGGACTGGAGGTGAGGTACTTAACTTCCCCATGCTCCAGTTTCTTCATCCAGAGCAAAGGCGAGGATTAAATGAGATCACACAGCGAAAGTATTTAGCATGGTGAAGGGTATCTCATAAGATGGCAACAAATGTTCATTGGCATTGCACCAGAATTATTCAAATGGGAATGATTTCCATTTAAACGTATATAAAGGTAACTTGATGACATTTTCCATAAACTCACTACTGTTCATTCTTATGTTTTAGGAGACAAACCCACAAAGGGAAACAAGGTAAGAAAAAGCATTAAAATGCATTTGTTACTCACTCTTTGTTTTAGAAGCATAGGAATATGGACAGTATGAAGGCTTAGATGGCACTTGAAAAATATACCCTAGAAATTTGGTTGGGCTTTGTTATTTGTTTGTAAACCAAAAAAAAAAAAAATTGTTAACCATGAGCTCTGCTCAAAGAACAATAACTGTGATTTCTGGTTCTCTTTCCTTTTGCAGACTCCTTTACTGCCTCCTCGGTAAGACACTGAAAAGAGAATTTTGTTTCACAATATACTGACATGATTAGTTCCAGAGTTTGAAAAGAGATACACAGACATCTGACACTGAAAAACTAATGAGTTGGTCAATGAACAAGAGTAAACAAGCCTCATTCATCCATTTATCATTCATTCATTCACAGTCATATAGTCAATATCCCTTCACGCAGCCATCTTTAATGAATGCCTTGCTTCCCTGCTTCCTGTTTTTTTCCCTTCATTTAGTACAGAAGTCTCTGTCTCCTCTAAGTACAGAAGTCTCCCAGAGTCCTGGCCCTGAGAAATGCCTTCAAGGGACCAACAATATATAAGTACATATTTATATAAGTACTTATGGTTTTATACATAAGTACATGGATTTTATATACATGTTTATATACATGGGGCTTTCCTGGTGGCTCAGATGGTAAAGAATCTTCCTGCAATGCAAAAGACCCGGGCTCGACCCCTGGGTTGGTAAGATCCCCTGGAGAAGGGAATGGCAACCCACTCTGATATTCTTGCCTGGAGAATCCCATGGAGCCTGGTGGGCTGCAGTCCATGGGGTCACAAAGAGTCAGACACGACTGAGCAACTAAGCATGCACACACATGCATATATGTATATATAAATATGGGGGTGGGTGGAACCTACAGATTTGATTTCTCAGGCTCTGAGTTGGCCACTTGGTTGTCCTACTTGGGCCCATGAGGACCTCCATCACAGCACTTCCTACCCTGGTGGGCCACCTTCTCACCGCTTCTCTCTTTGCCCTCGCAGAGGGCAGCTTTTTGAGCCAAGGTCTGTGTCTTTTTCTCCCTCTGTGTCCCCAGCATCACCAACAGGGCCTGACCCACTCTGTGAACAAGTGAGGGCCTGAGGGAATAAATGAGTGAGCGACTGGCTTTGGAACATTGTCCCATTTCGTTGGAGAGATTCAAAAGCTCAGGTTTTCCAATCCAGGGCAAATGAAAGGCTGCAATCATAGTTTCACCCCAGGCTGCCTAAAATGTCAACAGCTAGCATAGACCTAATGCAGCCTGTAGCAAATTACGTCACAGTCTGGAAAAAAACAGAACTAGAACAGAGGGCAAGCTACAGGGAGAGCGACTGAGACTCGTTAGAATGAGTATTCTGACTTTCCAAGCTCCGGGTAGTGAGCCATCCCCCAAACTGCCATTTCCAACCCAAAGCGGCAGACACAGAAGGCAGGGCTGTCTGAATTCCGGGTCTGAGGAGCCATCTGTATGGCAGACCTCAGGTCCTCTCTCTGACTCTTCTTTTTTTTAAATTAATTTATTTATTTATTTTAATTGGAGGCTAATTACTTTACAGTATTGTAGTAGTTTTTGCCATACACTCACATGAATCAGTCATGGGTGTACACGCATCCCCCATCCTGAATCCCCCTCCCACCTCCCTCCCCATCCCATCCCTCAGGGT